GGGAAAGAGAGATGGACAAAGAAGGAAATTTGTAGACTAATTGAAAAACCATAAAAGCCCCATATGTTTAACAAAAGCATCAATAATTTAATTAATCATATAATAAAATGAAGTTATTTTGAAGCAAAATATTTGATTTTACATATTTAGTATTTAACATTTCTTTAAATGTAGACTATTTCCAAATGTAAAAAAATTACTGTGAAAGATTTCATACAATGTAAAACTGAAATAACTGAACATCTTAATCTTGTTTTACCATTTTTGGACCATCCTGAGTGACTCAGTTTGACCAGTGCTTGTAGAGTTATTCTGTACTTTCTGTTTAATTTACTACTTAATGTCAACCTTTTATCAACTTTTGGAATAGTTATCATCATTATATTTTTGTTGCTGGTATAAATTTTGTGAACCCTTTGCATAAGTGATCTAAAAGTAACTTTGATAATCTTAGAATCTATCTCCCTTCCTGTTGGGAGTTGGAATGGAGACGATATTACAATACTAATTGATACGTCCTTTCCCATGAAATGTTTAAGAAGTGACTTGTTAATTTGGAAGGCTAACATTTCATGACGTTTAAATATGTACATACAATGTGTTATAAAATAAGGCATTTTCAGATTTGGTAAACAGACATTTCCAAGGACATATCCAGGGCCCATGGGGATGCTATAAGAAAAGGTAAGATTTGGACCATGTCTATAAGTAGCATTTTTTGAAAGAACATTGGCTTTCAATGGGAGGTGGCAAAATGCCTTTGAGACTTTGGAACACGTGCCCATTTTTCAGGATTAGTTTTCTTCCGTACAAACCTTTTGCCTTCTAATGAAAAATCAGAGTTCCATATCAAAGTACATATGGTTCTGGAGGCTGCGTTGGCAGACAAAGCATTCAAAAATAATTGTCCACGAATGCATGAGAATGAAGAAAATCCTTATACTCTAATACAGTTTTTACTGGATGCAAATTGCTTTAGCACCAGTAGGAGTCCGAATGAAAGCTAAACCCAGGCCTCAGGAACATACTGCACACCCCTGATGCAATTTTTTACTTTACGATATGCCTTAAACAGCATTCCTTTTTCTCACTTAAAATGTTCAGAGTACCCAGGACCGGTTCAAAATAAAGGGACACCCTTCCCTGCCACAAAACATCCAGGGGGTAGCGTCTCATCTGGTCTGACGTCCTCTTCTAATGCTGTTGTACCCCAGCTGTGAGCCTGCCTGTTTCCCTGGTGTTCAGGCCATTTATGAAATCCCCTTATGACAATTTTGGAAGGCAGTCGGTATGTTTTTGTATTGGATTGTCAAACAGTTTTCTGTTTCCAACACACTTGGCAAAAAAACTTGGCCACCCTGTCTGTTTGAAGTCTACTGCAGATCCAGAAATGGCTAAATGAATGACCACAAGTACCTAGTGGGGCTGGGATTAATAGACTCCTTTAGTTGTTTGTGTTGGCCTCCAAACTGCTGTGTTTGGACTCCCACAGTCTTGATACAGGATTCCAAAGTACATAGAAATTTTTTATTCCAATTTAATTTTCAACATTGTATTGTTTGAAGTGCTGGAAAGGATATTTTCAAACCCTTGATAGTCCATGTTCTAATACACTTGTAAATGGTTTACATTAAGTGTTTCTTGTACAGCTATTGTGAGAAAATGAGTAAAAAAGGATGGAAATGGGATGTAAGATAAAGATTAATAAGGAGAGAAAAGTATGAAACACTGGAAAATGAAAAAAACACCACTCAAGAGAGAATATCCAGAAGATTTTTTAAATATAACAAGGCATAATCTAAGCAGCTACAGCTGCAGTCTCTAATGCTAGGCGTGGAGGAATAAAAATGTACTAAAACATTCCTGGTACAGATACCTTTGCTCCTAGAAGTGTACTACTGTGCTCAAAGGGTGGCTAATGCAGGCAAATTCCTATGACATTCTTGTCATGTTTCTAGAGAATCATGTACACTCCCAGTTTTCAGAGATTAGGGCTTTGAATGGAAATCCACAACTCATATTTGGCCAGAGATAGATGCAGACAACTAAACACTAAACTAATTAAATTTTGTAATTATTACTCACAGGAAGGGAATTCTACTTATGTGAGTAACAGGTGCTTTTTTTTCTCACATTTATCTATTTTTCTTTGACACATGCACCCAAATATTGAAATCATTTATGCTGAGATAAAGGATTACCTTTAATCAAGAAATGGGCTCAGACAACTGTTTTTAAATCATGAATTTCAGCTCGAATGCATTCACCTTAGTTAACCTGGATCCTTAGTTACTAGGATGCATGAAGCACACTACCAGTCATGAGTAGCTCTACTTTCATAACACATTCATTCACCAGCTGGATTTTTTTAAGTTAAATTGTTCAGCAGAACCTGCATTAATCTCGGTATTCTTCAGTGTATTGTGTATTTAAGAGATACTTTTAATGGAGCAGAATGCAAAGACAGGAGTAAAAGCTCCTACTGCAATGTAAATGCCAAGGCGAAGCCTAGGTATTAGAAAGAAATGGTGAGCTGAAGTATTGTTTTCAGGGGAAGGAATCGAGGCTGGGATTTTTCCATGTAAAAGCAAGGGAATGAACTCAAGCCAGACCTCACTCATGGCACTGTCTTCCTCAAATCTCTGCATGGATACACATCCTATTCCTCACTGGGAATACTATTATTTGTATATACCTGTTCTGACTGTTGCGAGGACCCACTTTCCCAGGCGCTGTGCAAATACACAGTGAGAGGCTGTTCCTCTCCTGAAGCAGTGACAGTCTAAAGAGACACGAAGAAGAGGATCCATAGGATCACAGAGCAGGGGAGTGAAATGGCCACACAACAAGAGAGTCAGAGACACTAGCTGTAATTGTAGGTGAAGTCCTGCTTCTACTGACCCCGATGGGGCAAAATTTTGCTTGAATTTGGATGATAATCTTTTGGTGTGGGTTGTGGGGTTTTTTTTCTGTCTGCCAGCAGAGCTTTGGGTCAAGGATACTACAAACCCAAAGAAGAGTAAAAAAGACCAAAGACCCTATCCACAATGGGAAAAAGCCCCCTCACTTTCTCTTCCTCAACTGTCGCAAAATTGCTGCCCTCAGGGCTGTGACCCGTGGGGGTGAACAAGGCATGCTGAAGGGATGCAAGAGGTACCACCTGAGCCCCCTGCAGCATGTTTCCCTACCTGCTCATGAGCCCTTGCTTGATCTGCTGCAGTTTCAAGCCTGCCATTTTAAAGTTAATGAAGATCAATTTCAGTTTGTTCATTAGTAGCAAAGCCCGTGTCAGACTGCGGGGAGAAGCTTTGCCAGCACTGGGACGTACGGTGTCTCTGCTCATGACTCCACGTGCTCTGAGATGCACCCTGGTCCCTAACACCAAACCCTCTCCTAGCTGGTAGTGAACATCTTCCTGCGGGCACATATCCCAAGATTTTTGGATGAGGAACTGCAAAGTGGCTTGCAGTTTTGGCTATCTTTTGCCATCATTAGGGGTGAAGCACGATGTATAGAAAGCCTAAGGTGTAAATCAAATTGGGGCAGAAACACCCAGTTCCAGGAATTATTCCGTAAGTATTGCTGGGACCTTTATATGGAAAAGCACTTCAAGCTGTATTCCCTCTCTGCACAGGAGCAGATGAGGGCCAACAGTAGCTGAAAGGGAGATCAGAAGGTGGGCAAGACATATAGTAGTAGATGGGAGGGAAATGTCTTGGACAGTGCTCCGATGTCTTCCCTGCCCCAGCGAAGCAGCCTGCCAGGGTACTGTGCTTTGGTCAAGCACAGGTGGCTGTTTCAATGCCAAAGGAGAGATGGATCAGAGTATTAAGAAGTGCCTCTGTGAAGACTGTGGGGCTGGCTCAGATGGGCAGCGCCTTGGGTACTGAAACCTGACACAGAGTGTGGCCACGATGCTGGCAGAGATGCCCCGGGCTGACTGCCCACCGCAGGGAGTGCAGCAAGCCTTGCCCAGGCCCGGCCGCACGAGGGACTTATCTTGTGGCATTTCACAGTTAAGGGTATTAAAACTTCATGTAGCCGTAAGTCTATATCCAACAGCATTAAACTTAAAAAATATGACTCTTCTCCTGCATCCTTTGTGGCACTAAGCACTAGGGATGAGCCTGATTCAATTTCATCTCAATACAAAGCCATTAAGAGGATTTAATTACATACGATTTCTGTCCTATAATCCAAAGTCTAGCAGAAAGGTACATCCCTTCAGTGTTTCATTTTTATGCCACATGGGCAATAAAGATGTATATTTCGATGTAAGGCTCTTGAAGTCTGTACATCCAGTGCAATAACAGCTGAACGTTCAAGGCCAATGGGTAATAATTGATACATGTTAAAGGTTCTGTAATATATAAACTTCTGCTGCTTACAATGTCATTCTGCTCTAATTTCTTGAGTGGGAAGGAGGAAAAGATCTTTCAGATTTTCCACCGAGGTGGGAAAATATAGCACACACATGCCAAAAAAATAATGGGGTAATAAAGACGTGCTGTAAAGAGGATTCTATAAATGGAAATGATAAAACTGTAAGTAGCCCAAATGGGTCTCGCTATCTGGTGCAAAAGGAAAAAATGTCTGGGGTGCAAGTATCAGTTTGGTCTGAGAGGACGAGGTCACAGTGACTGTCAAGTGAGGGAGAGAAAAGGAAAGAGCACTTTAAAAGCTTATATGGGAACAAACAAAAATGATAAACAGGAAGCAGCCTAAGCAGGAGCCTGCTGAAGTGCATGTATTGCTCTAGATTTTCTCTCCAGTTTGAGGTTTTTTTAATGAAAACTGCCTAATTAACAGAACAGAACCTAATTCCTAAATGGTGTGAAATCAATTACAATTTTTTTCTGAAAAGGCAATTCTCATCCATTAGTTATACTTGATTTTAATTAGAACTGTGCTGGAAGGATATGATCGACAATGGTCATGCCTGATGGCTGTTGTACACAGATTGAGAAGTATGATAACAGCTGCCATGCTGGATGTCAGAAAGTGTGTCTGGTTTGTCAGCAGCAGAAAGCAGGAGATGCTTAGGGAAAGTACAGATGAAGTTGGGAAAATTTGCCTGGTCCTTTCCTTGATATATATTTATATATATAGTTTCCTATCTTGATATATATTTGTTATATATTCA